ATAAATGTTTCTCTTCTTATCCTTGTCATATAATTCAAAAGAGGCTTGATCTTTAGAGGGTATAAATTCTCATAAAGAGTATAAATTTCATCGAGTTTTCTCTATAAAAGCTCATACACATATAAAATCAATCATATTTCTATGTTGTTCTAAAAATTTATCATTAAAATTTTTATTGAGTTTAAACTTGGATATAACATGATGATGACATTTTTTAAGTAAATCTTTAAATTTTTCTCATGTCTCATGCAATGTTTCTCTTGATCTTTGAGAAAAACTCTATATATGTTTTCTTATATTTTGAGTTTTTTATAAGAGATAAAATTTTCAAAGAAATACTTATTTTATGTCTTTCTAGCTAATTAATTTTCTATCTAATGTGGATAGTCTATAACTAACTTTGTCTCTAAGTGTATGAGAAAATAATTTCATCTTAATAATTTCTGGTGTAACTTGAGAGAGATTAATTAAATCACAGACCACATAAAAAAAATTTAAATGTTGATGAGGTTCCTCTAAAGATAATCTATGAAAATTAGGAAGCATTTGAAAATTTCCTAGATTTATTTCGAATTTAATAGTGGGTGTTAATAGGACTCTAATATTAGATGCTCTTTGAAATGAATTGTGGATATAATGATTTTTCATGATCATAAGATTATTCTTAATTTGACTTGTACTTTCTTCAAGATCTATCAAAATTAATTTTTCTTTTGGATTTTTAGTTTTGAATGAAATAATGAAAAGATTTTCTAACGTTGGATGCAAGGGTCTTCTACCATGCATAAAAATCAATAAATTTGAAGAATTTTTTTAATAATTATTATCTTTGTTCAGTATGCTCTAGTCCTTGCCTTACTTCTCTTCATTCTCTTTTTTTTTTTCAAGAACAAAATAAAATAAAAGTTAATTTTTTTATATACTCTATGAGAAAAATAAAAAAATATTAAATATTATGTAATACATCTCTAGTAACGGTGTCAAAATTTGACATGACTTAATCATTGTATAGTAAATCACGTAAATTTAAAATTTATAAAAGTAGAAAATATTAATTTTCAAATATTTAAAAGTATTTTTGAAAATATATATCAATTATAATTAAATTAAACTTTCAAAAATAGTGATAATTTTCCAGGTCAATTATAAGGATGTAATATAATATCAAGTAAGTTTTCAGAATTTTTCTCAAAGAATATGATTTTCTATAATTTTTATACTAAAAAATAAAAATAAAATATATTTAAAATTTACAAAAAAGGGAAATATGGGTGCGGACATCAAGATGACGTATGTGTCTGACGAATGCAAATTGAGTGAAAATAGAGTTTTATCTAATAATTTTTACATAAGTAATTATAGACAATTTAATTGATCAAATTAAGATTTGTAAAATCTAAAAGAATTGTAATTGAATGAAGTATAACTTGGTAAATTTAAATCACACAAACTATTACTAAATGAAGTGAAAATTAAGTTGAAAGTAAGACAACAGAGTTTTGGCGTTACGATGGGGATGCGTCAGCGATGTATTGAAATTTTGAGCATTCAAGAAGATCATCATATAGTGTTCACAACTTTGAAAGCTCTCTTTAAATGAAGATGACGTGGATAATTTCTAGATATCCTTGCAAAGTTTAAAGATCAATAAAAAAGATCGCAAATCGATCGAGTAAATCATCTCCAATTGATCAATGAACAAATTGTCGTCGAAAAGAGGATAATCTCCTGAGAGATGAGTTGTCACCTCCTGAAAGTATACCAAATGTGATAAAGAGCCTCTTCTTGCTACGTAGATTTGAAGATGAAGCTCCTTAACACATGCCCTACCTCTATCTAGCTCTTCTCAATTAGGTGATAGTTGTTAGAGAGTCACAAAATTATTATTTTTTCGTTCTATCAGGTGACAACTATCAGAGACAATTCGACAACCTATTTCATTGATCTCTAAACTTCACAAGAAGATCTAGAGATTGCCCATTTCATCTTGACATCCTCACCCTTATTGTCATTTTTTATGAATTTTAAGTATATTTTATTTTTATTTCCTAGTATAAAATTAATAGAAAATTATGTTCTTTGAAGATAATTTTGAAAACTTACTCAATTTTATATATATCTTTGTGATTGACTTATAAAATTATGACAATATTTAGAAGTTTTATTAAATTATAATTGATATATTTGTTTAGAAATATTTCTAAATATCTAAAAATTAGTATTTTCTAATTGTATTAATTTTAAATTTATGTGACTTATTATACGATGACTAAGTCACGTCAGATACCTAATGTATATTCACTACTAGAAAAATATCTTATCATGATCATTATTCTAATAAATATTCTTGTTGTCTACTAAGGGCTTTATGATGTCAAAGTTCTTGTCAAATGGAAGGATCTTCCTACTTTAGAGAATTCTCATAAAATAATCTATAATATTATTCACCAATTTATGAAAAAAAATTTACAATAAGGTGAAAATTAAAGTGGGGGAGTATTGATGACATTCTTGTGGGAATTTCTCACCCACAACGGAGACACTCTTGACACCATATAGAATGTCACCTATTAGTAATTATGGATCACAATACTAATGTGATAACATCCTTTAAATATCTAGGAGTTAAGGCTGACATGACAATGAATGTCAAGTGTAGAGAAGAACATGGGTACAAGAATGATGGCTGATAAGTGTTTAAATGACAGTTGGAGTCAATGGAGAGAGGAGGAAGCTTTTGTGAGATTTGAAGGGAAAAGGGGAAATTGACCATCTTGAATTGAGTATCTGATGTAGAAGGGTCTCGTATACCCTCTCATTATTTCTCTATTTGTTTATCATATTATTTTTTCTCTGTCTCTCTCTTCTCTCACATATCCTATTACCTAGTATTAGCTATTCTACGAGGATAACTTAACATTGACCCAACACTTTCTATTTTTCATCCTTCAAATTTATTATTTAACCAACAACAGAACAAGGTTCCATCAAATTCCTAATTGTCAAATTGCTCATGTGATTTCATTTTGAGATGATTTCTTAGACATTTCTCATAAATGAGTTAATATTATGAAAGAATCATGTTTCTAACATTTTAAAATCATGTTCCTCTCAAGGTTGTGAAAAGTAGTATTGTACTAAGAATAAGAAGTTTACAAAATTCAACTTCAAATTCATTGAACTTTTAAGTTTTTGGCATGAGAACTCCAAAACATGTTCAACTAGCCATGGTTCATAAAAGTATAAAGTATGCTACACAAGAAGTGGAACCATGAGGTAAATAAGATTACTCTAAGGATCCTCCCCACCAAAATAATGAAGAAAAAATAAGACCCTTCCCAGCCCACCTCTGCCCATCTAAATATCCCCACACACACTCATCTCCTTTTCTATCTCTCTTTAATGATAAACAGAAGGGGATAGCTTAGGCAAGGGATATCTGGTTTACTTTTTATACAAGGAGTGTCCATATCATTTATATAAAGGAGTTATCCATTATCATCACCATAGGTGTCACGGGAACAAAATTAATGGACCTTGTTAGGTGCAAGGTTAGTCTAGTTTGTCAAACCATGGTCAAGTAGCATTCCAATTTAGGCCAATCCATAGAAGGAACCAAGCTGCTGCTGGGGCCTTTTCCTTGGGATATTAAATCTTATATCAAGTCCTTAAAATCGGCGGTTCCATGGTCTAGTGGTCAGGACATTGGACTCTGAATCCAGTAACCCGAGTTCAAATCTCGGTGGAACCTCCTTCTTCTCTTTTTTGCTGCTGCTTCTCGGTCCGCCCTTACTCCTCATCCATTTCGCTTTCAGAGCCAGAGGAGGAGTCATCCCCCCCGCAACCTGTTGTTCTTGTTATGAGATCATTCATGACCTTGCCCTTCCAAAGTCAACGTGTTCCTCGTGACATGTCTGCAGGTGACCGTCGCCATCAAGACGAGAGTAGGGATATTTTGTTTTTCATTTCCCGTCAATAAAAAAGGAGCAGTCCCGTCAACGGAGCCTTCTAAGATATCTCTGCTTTTAGGTTTCTAAAAAGAACCCACCCTCTACAGAGCATTCACGTGGCTGGCGAATCTTCGGGAGCAGCTCCGTCCTCTTGCGTCACTTTCCCCCACGGCGGAGATGTTGGCCCCGCCGCCCCCGTGGTCGGCAGCGCGTCACCCAGGCCCTTTCCCCACATGGCCTGCTGGCTTCCAATCACCTCCCCCGACGAACCCTCGCCCTCTCCGCCGCCATCTCGGAATTTCTATTTTAGGCATGAGTCTAATGTGGTCGCAGGATAGCTAGCATGATAGGGAGGAGTTGACCCGCTGAACCCCCACCAATCACCTGCTAAACAGCGTTGTTAGCTGCGCTGGCCTGTTTAGCTGCCTGCGTAATATTTTTTAGAGTTTTATAGCGCCAGCGGCAGTGGCAGTGTTAGTGGAGGAAGAACACCTCTTCGGTCAACAACGAGAGAGTTGAAACCATTTGCCGTGGGTTGACCCGGAGGCGAATCCGGCTAAGAACAAGAAGCACTACTAAGCCACAGTTGTCTATGTCATCTTTCCTTCAACAGGTAAAGGGAAAAAAAAAAGAGTACTAGTCACTCAGACAGTCATCATACGATCGATCTACTGAAATCCTTCTGGTCTGGACAAGTTCCTCAGGAGAACCAGCATCCCTCTGGGGCGATGATCCTCTTCCTCTCACATCCGCGATCAGGGAGGTCTCTCTGTCTCCATTCTGACCGAGCTTCAATGCAAGTCCTTTTCATCTCCCCACATGAAACAGCCCGAATTCTCGGACACGTGAACATACGAGCTTTGGCATGATCCAATGGTGCTACTATCCATCATCATCATCATCGTCGTCGTCGTCGTCGTCGTCGTCGTCGTCGCCGTCGTCGTCGTCATCATCATAGTGGAGCTCCACCACCACCGCCGCCGCCGCCGCCGCCGCCACCCACCTCTCATCTTCTTCCAGCTGAAAGCCGTCGTCCCCCCGCAATCCGGGCTATGAGGGATGAGCTTCCCTGGAGAAGGCAGCGACCAGCCTATCCTTCACCATCTGCTCGGATCCATGGGACTTGACCACAAAGGTATGGAAGACCACGTCTTTCCCGGCCGAGAGCTTGGACTCCACCACGTTCATCTGCGCCTCCTTGAGGACATGGATGACCTTGGAGACCGGGTGGGTCTCCAACGGGCAGCTCACCGTCACCACCACCTCGTCCCGCACCGTCTGCACCTCGATCTCAGGGCACTCGACCGCCCTCCTCTTCTGGTCCATCTCCCTCTCCGACTCCACGTCCTTGAGCTTCTTCTGCAAGTCGGTGATGTAGGCTATGGCGTCGCCGAGAAGGGAGGCCTTGTCCATCTTGGAGATGTTGGGCACCACCGCGCGGAGGGCGTAGAATCTCTGGTTCAGCTTCTCCCTCCTCTGCCGCTCCGCTTCCACGTGGTTGAGGGGCTCCTCCCTCCCATTCGCCGGCTTCCTCCCTCTCTTCCTCGGTCTCCGCTCCTCGACGCCGCCGCCCGCCGCCGCAGGCCTCCCCTCCTTGCAGGGCAAGTCTGCGTCGTCGTTCTCTGTCTCCAGGCTCTTCAGCCTGGCTACACCAGAGAAATCAATCTGCCTCGCCGGAGGAGGCGGCTGTGGAGACGCCACCGCCGCCGCCCCCGTCGCCGCAGGAGCATTCTGCTGCTTCTGCTGTGGGAAATTAACCCCATTACGCTGCTGGTTGCTCACCTGGGTGGTCTGGTCGGAGCTCCCAAACCGGGCCTGGTTCCAATTCCAGACATGGAGGCTCTTCCTAACATTTGGGAACGGAGCGAGCCGGTCACCGCCGGCCGGCTGCAGATCCCACGGCGGCTCCTCCAGCTTGGGCGCCACCGCCGGGAGCCTCCTCCCCAGATTCAGATCTTTGCCGAAGATCCTCGGGCATTCCTCCGAGGAGGCAGAAGATTTCAGCTGCCGGCCGTGGTAGATCATGGAGGTGATCATCTGCAGGGCCTGCGGATCTTCGCCTAGGGAATTCACCGAGCCCAGCTCGAGGACCCCCGAGTCGGACGGCACGAGGACCACCGTGCGGATGCCGGTGGCCCGAGCCAGGAAGGCCCTGACGCAGTAGTCGTCGGCGCAGTCGGAGACCCACAGGGGCTCGCCGGAGGCGAAGACCCTGCCGGGGGCTCCCTCCCCGCGCGGGAAGGAGAAGTACATGGAGGCGAGGAAGAACATCTCCGTGTCAGTGACGCGGTCCAGCCTGAGGGCGAAGTTCTCCTCGTCGGAGCCGCCGAAGAAGGTGTTGAGCTTCTGCAGCACCCGCTTCCTCATCGCCTGGTTCTTCGGCTCTTCCTCGTGCTGGTGGCGATGGCGGAGGAGGTGATCGTCCTCCTCCTCGCGGGGTTCGCGGCAGTGGCCGTCGCCCCATCCGAGGACGATCTCCCCAGCTTTGGATCTGGAGATCTGCCAGAAGATGGCGTAGTTCCAGGTGAGGCCCGTGGGGTTGGGCCCGTCCACCAGCGCCGCCAGCTTGTTCTGGAGCTCCGAGTCGCTCCCTACCGCCGTGAGCCCCTCCGATGTCATGTTGCCGGCGGTGATGAAGTCGAAGGCCTGGGAGCCGAGCACCGCCACCGCCATCGCCCTGTCCTCCTCATTCCAGAACCCCCTGGCCCCCGGCCCCATCCCCATTCACAGGGTACCCTAGAAACCCAAAATCCGACGAAGAGGACGGCCCCAGAAAACCCTACAGCAGCTTCATCTCTCCCTAGATTCCATGCCCCCCCACTCCCATCGATCAAACCCGCAGACAAGACGACGACCGCGACTGGCCAGTTCCTCTCCTCCTCCTCCCCCCTGCTCACCAGCACCTCTCCCCGCCCCCAACGCAGGAAATCTCTCTCAACCTGATAGGAAGAAGGGCGGCGAAACTGGGTAGCACCGAAGCAGTGCAGACAGAGAAGAGAGAGAGACAGGTAGAGAGAGAGAGAGAGAGCGAGAGAGAGCGAGAGAGAGAGATGGACTGTGTCGCGCGATGTGATGTCTCATATACGCATAAATGGACGGAGGGAGGTAGGAGCCCTCCCCTTCACGACCACCACCACGAAGAGTTAGGGTTCTGACTAGGCGGTTTCCTTAAAGCGGATTTTTGGGTAGCCGTGGCGCGCCGAGAGAGTGGTGGAGAAAGCTGATCAAATCGGACGGCCCACAGCGCTGGACTCTATGCGGCTCAGCTCGGCTCGGCTGGAAACCCCAATTGTGGCCACGTTTGGAGGGCGGGCGAAACGACTGAAACGTGCCAGCGTGGTAGGGTCTCGTGACACGCGTCGCAGCGAGGAGCTGCGGCGCCATTCAGCTGAAGCTCGTGAGGGCGCGTGACGGCTCGAACCGGAAAACGTGAAAGGCATTTAACAACCTCCTCGCTCCGCCGTCCACGTCCTCGCCGCTTGTTCCACGGCGGAGAACGAGGAAACCGTGCCGTGAGACGACGGACCATCCGTGCGCGTCCGTTTGATTCGCCGTTAAAATGCCCCACCTTTGCGCTGGATTGACGGCAACTTCTCCGCCGTCCCACGTTCCGATGAGCCGTCAGAACGGAGAGCTGAGAGGATTGGGTGGCAGGAGAAAAATAATTATAAAGATAAAAAGTCAATTATGATCATAAAAGCCCACGGGGTCCGCGGTGGCCTCTGTCTCGTGCGTCGATAACAAATGGGAGGAGTCGTCAAATGAGCATACCACGTGCTGCGTCGGGACGCGAGAAAGTGCGACCACCGTTTCGGACAAGATCCATGACGCGTGCGCTTAGTGGGCTTACTATTGGGCCCTTTTAACGGGCTCTGAATGAAAAAGTTTTAAGCCCGGATCTAAAAGCCGGACCGGTTGATCGTGTCCAGCGATATGCAGGATTTGAGACAATGGGCTGGTGGGTCCCGGAAGCCCAGAAGGTTTTCAGAAGATGGCCCACGTTCTTTTTTTAGGGAAATTGATTGTGTGGGCAGGCCCATATGGCCTTCATGGCCTACGTTGATGCTGGTACCATTGTTTTTCCCCCTCCTGATTATGAAGGGGAATACATATTTATCATCCTATGTTTTCTGCAGTCAATATTCTGAGAATATATTCATTTATGAGAGGAAGGGGGCCTCCGATGATGCCTAGTGCAATTTCCCAATGGTTGACTAAAAAAATTGACTCATGAAGTAGAGTTGAGAGAGAGGAGAAAGAGATGCAGTTGTAAGATGCTAAATGGCAATTTGGAGTCTAAGTTGGGGAAGTAATAGATTTGATGCTTGAATCTATAATACACAAAACTCTTGAGGGCAAATAGAAAAAAAAATGATCTTCAATCTGCAATACTTCCATCCTCGAGGTTCCAGGAAGCTTAATTCATCAATTTTTGCTGAAGTGGGTTAAAAGTTTTTCATCCTTCTCTTTTTTCTAGGTGATGTTCTACATCAGATTCCCCTATTTTTAAAAATGTCACCTTCAAGTCTCTTTTTAATTGATATGCTTTAGTTAAATGAGTCTTTAAAATTTTCATTTTTGTAGTTATTGTTGGTTTTATGATACATGGTATCAGAAATTTTGAGTTCGTTTGGTCCAAATAACATCTTCACACAAATAAGTTTGATGTAGCATTATGCACAATATAGAAAATTCTAACCTTGAATATACACAATATGATTTTGGTGAAGAAATGAGGATTTGAATTCTCAGAATTAATATCCACAATCATAGAATCCACAAAGATTTACTAGGAGTAATGTTGAGTTTGTAAAATCAAATGAGACTCTTGAATCTAGAAGAGGCATTTGAATGTGCAAGCACAAAGATGATAACATCAAAGAAGTGAAGACTTGTGGTACTTCAAGATGCCTTAGAGTTACAATGTGGGACCTTATATAAGCATACAAATAATATAAAATCAAAATAAATCTTAAGACAACAGAAATATAAAATAAAAATAAATTTTTAACAATAAATTAGGTTTATACCAATTTTATATCACATTTGCATTTTTTCCAAAAAAAATTCTTTAGTTTTAGGTCTTATTTTGACAAATGAATTACTTAAAACCAAATTGAGTCTTCTCACAACTTACTTAGGCCTAGTAAAGTTTTGTGCCTCTTTCATCATTCTCCTCTTTATAACTTATTTCCAAAATTATTCGACCTTTAGGTCACATAGTTAGTTGGCACTCTAAGAAACATGGTTGTGTGCTTCTTTGGATGCTTTGATAGCATGTCCAAATAGCCTTTATTTCCTCCCTCAACTTGTGAGAGACTAATGGCTCTCTATATACCAAAGAACTGACTATATATTCTTTAATCAAGAATACATGGGGAAGAGGGAACCTAAGCATCATGTCTACTTGTCTCACTCTCTAGCCACACTGAAACATCCCTTTAATTATAGAGGAGGCTTGGATAAAAATAAGTATGATTTCAAGACCTGTTAGCCATCTATCCTGTTATACTATTTGCACAATACCTTGCCAACACTCATCACACCACTGGTAATTGTCATGTGCTCAGCTATTACATGAGTTCATTACATTCTAGCTTGCCATTCTTATTTGTTACACACCATCACTTGCAACACCTCCATCATTTGTTACACTCACCTTGTGCATCTCTACCCATAACACCTAGATGCTACCATGTGCCTACAGCCATTGAATATTGTGCCACTATTGTGTTGATGGTCAACATGGTTCTTGACATGTTCCCACAAAAAACTCACCATGCATGAGTAGAGTTAACCATAGGTGCAATGTGCCTCTATGTGTCCACACTTCCTACACAGGGCATGACATGCCACCACACATTGTTACACATGTAGTATTACCTTGTGTGCATTGTGTCATGCCAATGTGCCTATTTGCACACACTCATACTTGCTTGTTGTTTAGACATCTGCCAAAGGTCTAATCCAAGAACTCTACTTGTAATGTGAGAGGTGTAACAACTTATCCTAGAGTCTTAACTTATTTCAACATAGTAATCATATGGCATAAATAAAATATGCATGTCATTTGGCAGCTCAGTGAAATATGTATTATCATCAATCTTCTTATAAATTATAAATGACTCACATTTTTTAATATCAATTAATTTTAAAAAATTATAATCAGTCCATATGTCTATTGTTATGGCTGTAAAAGAAATGTTTCAGCTTTATATTTCAAGATTTATTAATTTTTAAAGACAATGATGACAAGTGACTTAGTATTTAGGTTATGTCAATTTACATTTAATAGAATGAAATTATTACATCACAAGAACATGGCTTCTAATTTGTCACCTATTATAGCCAATAATGATGTTTGTGATTGATATCTTTATGACAAATAATATCATTTATTATATCTGATAATAAAATCTTGGAGAGCAAGGTCTCCTCTTGAATTACTACACATTGATATTCATGGTATGATGATTACTTCATCATTGAACAACAATTGATTTTTTTATTGATTATTTTACCTACTTAAATATATTTTTATATTCATCAATCTGAGACATTTAATAAATGTATTCAGCTTAAAGCTTTTGTGGAAAGCTAAAGTGATCATGTTATAAAAACCTTTAGAATAAATAAAGAGCAAAAAGTATATCTCATAGGTTTGATTTATTTTGTAAGCTAAATGATATTTGCATGTAACTAGAAATTAGAAGATCCTAGAAAAAATGATATTACTGGAAAAGTAGAACAATAGTAAAAATGACATGAAGTATGCTTAGTAAGAAGTATTTTCCAAATGATTTTTGATCTAAAGTTGTGATAACAACCATTTATCTCTTTTATATTTCTCTAAGAAATGTAGTCATGACTATGATTTCTTATGAAACATGGTATCATTAAAAGTCAAATGTTGGTCATTTAGAAAAATGAGTTGTGTTTAATATTAATTAGTTATGATGATCATGAAAATATAAATAATAAAAGTGAGAATATATATCTATATTGATAATATTGATGAAATATTTATTATTTATATAATCATAAAATTAAGAAAATATTCATTCATCAAAATGTCCTTTTTAATGAAAATAGTTGTTGGAATTAGAAGAATGATCAAATTCAACAAATATGTTCTTATGAAAATAGACAAATTGACACAATTAGGTAAGATCCAATGCTTCACATTTCTTCATCATCTAGTTCACATTGAAGAAAATCTCTAAAACATTATAATGGTTTTAATAGCCACAAATATTTAAGTTCAGATACAATGAGTCCTCTAAAAAAAGGTAAGAACTCTAAATGAAATATATGAATCATATGCTTTTTTCTCTAGTGGTTGTATAAATATCAAGTTATAAGCATTCACAAGATAAAGATGAGAGGGAGAAAGTAATGAAGGAAGAAGTCAATTGAGAAGAGTAACATGTAGCCGTTGGTAGATCTTCCACTAAAAAAATGAGACGATCAATGTAAAATGAGTTTATAAATTGAAGGATAAAGCACACGAAAACATACAGAAATATGAAGTAAGATAGGTGGTAAAAGGATATACACAAATGAAATGATGTTCTTCCATACATAAATAATATAGTATTGACTATTTTAAAATTTGTTCTTCCATTAAAAGACTTGAAATAAGTACAATTATTTTAACTATACTAGCATAAATGAAATGATGTGTTTTTTAGTTTGATGTTAAACATATATTTTTTAATAGTTAT